GATGCTAAGGTCAGAAGCTACCACCATCACTATTCAGAACAGTCCTATCAGCACCTGGGTTGTGAAATTTCTTTAAGACTCTTTCTGTTCATTTACTTAGCATGTCCTCTGCCAGCATATTCCGACATTTGCTATTCTCTCAAAAAGAAAACTACTTGTTTCTTTGATGGTGAATGTACCAGCTTTCAGTCACTGGTAGCTGCCAGCGAATGTCCAACAAGGTAAAAATAATTCAGTCTTCCACTTTTTATGGCAGACACTTTGAAGATTCAGCTGGACAGGGTGCTGGGACATCAAATCTAGGCCATGCTTGGCTTTGAGGTCCTATCCAACCTGGCATTCTATGATTTTCAGATATTGCCTAAGAATAAATAATTGTAGGAAGAGATATTATTCCTTTGCCACTTATTTGAAAGAGCAGATTCCAGGGAATTCCCAAGTGCTGGAGTATCTTATATTCAGGTTGGCACCCTAGCATCTGGTCTGCTGACATGATCAAAATGTGAGAGGTAAGCCTGATTGCAGGATCTCCTGTCAAAACAAGAGCACAGACATTGCCTCCAGGGTTTACATCCCAAGGTCTCACAGACTACTACACATGCAAATTTTACTGCTCTCCTTCAAAATTTCTGGTATTTCCATACCTTTCATGTGCAGTGACCACGAGCCAAAATGTCACTTCCTAGCTCTCTTTCTTAACTATAGACAGAGCCACGAGCATGCCAAGTTCTACTGTGTATTCTTACTTTTATGTTTCCAAGGATCCACCCAGCTTTTTCTTTTACGTCTTTTTTGGTTTTGCATCATCACTGACTTGACAGTTTGCATTAAGTCTATTAAATCAAAGCCTCTTAAAAACCTTCTCTGAGTCACTGTTTTCCAAGGCAAAGTTCCATTCCCAATTATAGCACACTGTACTTGGCCGTATGAAAATAAATCCTATTTGAGTGGGATATAAGCTCCTCACTGGTTGCTATTAGTCCTGTAAAAATTCCATTTTACTATTTTCTGTTCTGTATTTCACCAGTGAAAATTGCTATTCTGAGTCTGTTGAAGAGATACAGACTTTGCCAAATCTGCCCTTTATTTGTCACTACTAAACTCTTAAGAGTTTCTCATATTTCTGATGCTCTGATATTTGAGACAACTTATCATCTTTATTTCTATCAGCTATGGTTATTACATTAGTTTCCTTGATTTCCTTATCAGCTGTACACAGCTTTTACTCACAAATATTTTTTTCACTCATTTTCATTTACCCCATTATTTATGCATGTTGCATTCTTAGCAGGATTTGCTTGTTGAATGTTCAACACACAGAGGTTTTCTACACTGTGAACATCAGGACTAATGGCACATGTTAACAGCAAGAAAATATGAATTAACCAGACTACAATAAAATACATCACAGAGTGATGCAGTCCTGTTTTACAAACAGAAGAGACAAATCCAAAGAGAGGCAAAGTGGCTTAATGAGTAAAACGGACTCTTCAAACGAACAGCCCTAAATAGCATATACAGACCTGTTCCTAGCTCTTCCATAAGGCAGCTGTTATTAAACAGTGTTTGTAACCCAAATAGAACTGAGAGACTGAAATTGTTAATAAAAATTAATTGCTCATAACTGGTTTTCAAGGGTTCAAACTCAGAAAACCTCAAAAGCTTACTGCATAAACAGAGTATTTTATTTTTGTATTTATTCATTTGTAATTCCATTGCACTCATGCTGAAAATTATCTGGAAACTAAAGATATTATCTGCGGAAGAAGAAAACAAAAGCTAGAATAATAAAACTTGGTCCATGTGGTTAAAATATAATTAAAAGCTTAGGCAATAACCAGCTATCTAATTGTGGTGATTCTCGGTATTTTTTCTCTCAGGAACTATTTTCTGATTAGTAGCTATTCTGAATGCTGGCACAGAAACAGAAAACAGATTTAGCAATTAAAATGCTTAAAAACAAAGAAAAAAAAAAACAAAAAAAAGAAAAAGCAAGCCACAAACTCAAATATAAACGCAAGAGTTTCCTGCAGACATCTTACTCAGCTCAACTGCTCTTTAAAGCATGCTTCACATGGCATGTTTGACACTGCTCAGCTCCATCCACCTAAATTAACAACTCCCCATGTCAGAATAATTCACTATATACCTCTTAATAGTTTTGTCTACAGCACTGAATGTGGACTGCTAACTAACTGGTTTTCAAAGGTTACTATTAATGCAAAATACTCAACATTTCACACTTGTTTAATGGAAAGAACGCTTCCATTCTTCTGCAAACACAACAAAATATCCGTAACTGGATTTTCACGGGCTATGGATGAGATTTAAATCTTATGCCTGAGCCCTGTGCTGCTGCAATGACTTGGGCAGGAGGCTGGATCAAGGTTTAGGCACCGGTTCAGGGCCCTGCCCTTGGTGTAACATAATGGTAACAGCATCTGAAATTTCATCTTAAAAAAAGAGGTCTCTAGGCTCCTAGCTAGCATGGATATTTAATAAAATAATTAAATGCAGGTTGTGTGCATTTTGAAAGCATCAAAACTAAAGAAACAAACCTCTCCAGTAGTGAGGAACAGAATATACAGAACTCTTTCTAGTCTTTGCTTACACAGGACTACCATTTATCACTTAGCTAAGAAAAAAAAATGTCAGAAACTAAGGCCCTATAATTATATTGCTATAATTCTATCAGGTATCACACCAGGGTATCAGAAGTATCATTCTGTAGGGAACCCACAGCAGAAGTTTCTAGGTGGGGTTATATACATGTTCCTCTTCCTATTAAGGACTGAATTGGCTGTTTATGTTGAAACCTTTCTTCATGGGGCTTTGACACATGCACAGATTTGTTCTGTTGCATGTGTCTTCTCAGGAAGAAATCCAGCTTGCCTGGAGATAAGGACTGGCAATACAGGCAAAGGCTCTGATTGACTAGCATAGGTATGCCGACAATCAGTTCCATCAAGCCAAAGGCAGCCTTCATGCATGGTCCCAGCTACCGCCATACCAGCGCAGGGCATGGCTACAAATTCAGGCTGTATCAGTGATGGACCAGGAACAAGACTCTATATGGGAATAAACCTGGGTTCTCATTCTCAGATGTCCACTTTAATAGTCTTTAAGTGACATTTTATTTATAACTTTAATGTAATGTAAAACTCTTGTTGATCTTGAACCTTTTCAAAACCTTTACCCCACATGGGGTGAATTACTACTGCTCAGCTTCTTGATGGTAACTGCTGACACACAGGCTCTTAACTCATGTAACATTCAGTCCTTTCTATTCTCCTGAGGGCAAGCAGACAGTATTCCAATGTTTCAATAATACTGCAGTGGTTGGACGGGGCTTTTAGCAACTTGGTAAAGTGGAAGGTGTCCCTTCCTGCAGCAGGGCAGCTGGAACCAGATGATCTTTAAGATCACTTCCAACCCAAACTGTTCTATGACTCTGAATGCAGAAGAACCCATACATACCAGTGGTCCCCACTGAACTCAACAGAGTTCCTGCTAAAGGGATTTTGTAGTACATTTAGTGGGACAGGAAAGTAAGTTCCGAAGGCAATCCCAGATCTTTGTCCTGTTCAGAAGAGAGTACTAGGTCTCAGAATTCTAAGACAGACTATACCAGGAAATACATCTCTTGGTCAGACTGACAAGGCAAAACAGCCATGAAAGGATCAACAGCTGCTTGTCAGCGATACAAACCACCAATATAGCTAAGGGAAAAAAGACTACCTTTTTCATCAGGAATGAAGAGAAACACTTACAAATCATCAGAAACTGTGACCACCATAATATTAGAAAATTATTTTTATATAATTCTATTCTGTATTTTAAAGAATAAGCAGCTATCATGGAGTAAGCTCAGGAATACACATGAGGTCCTTTCCTGGGTAATGAGTGCATGCTTAGTCACTTTCATTTGACCCGATGTAGTTTAGCTGTGATTGTATCAAACACGCTTTGCAAGTTAACCAAGCTGAAATATCAAGTGTAAGGTTTCTTTCTGGTTAAGAAATTAACACAGTACCATCCTTCAAACTACATCCTTCGTTCAACCATCAGTAGTTAATGAAATACACATTTTTTACCTGTGTCGTTTTTATCTTTAAACAGCACAGAGCTAGGAACAGCAGCATACCTGTTTCCTTTCCAAGTCTTCACTGATCAATAAACCAGGAAATCTCTTTCTACGCACTTCTAGTTTATTCAACCACTTAATTACCAGCTTAGTAAAATTACCATGTTAAAGGCAAACAAAGATTCAGCAAAATTTTTCACTATGAAGGTGGTGAGGCCCTAGCACAGGTTGCCCAGAGAAGCTGTGGCTGCTCCACCCCTGGCAGGTTCTAGGCCAGGTTGAACAGGACTTTGAGCAACCTGATCTAGTGGAAGGTATCCCTGCCTGTGGCAGGGGAGGTTGGAACTGGATGATCTTTAAGGTCCCTTCCAATTCAAACCATTCTATGGTTCCTCAGTGCTTTCCTTGAAAAGAGCTGTATGTAAACTTTTGCACTAATATCTGCTTCTCATTTCTGATAGCACCAATTCTTTAATGCAAGCAGTAAAGAACACATGTATAGCCTGGTCACAGACTGCCAGCTCAGCCATGGCATTCTACAGTTGAAGTAGCAGGGCATGCTGCAAAAAAACCAACCCTATCTATTTGGGCATGTGACAAAAGCTGTGGTTCTGATATGTACAGAAGTGGACAGATTTCACTTACGCAGAGTGTGTGGAAGTTAACAGAAGCAAGAGTTGTCACAGGAAGGAGGCCAGGATGATTTTGTTTAGAGAACAGGAAATATATTTTAGTCTTCCACTGTTTTCTACTTGTTTTATTTTTGAGAATCTGGGTATCAGCATAAAATAGGCTTACTTTGTATATTGGTAAACCCAAGTTTAAAAAAGTAGGTATGTAAGAGGAACCCGTTTAAAAACAGTCATATATTCCCAATCAGTCAAACAAAAGGGTACCCTTTTAGAAGGAAACGTACCTGTTTCAGGACTTGTTTGATTACAGCTGCTAATAATGCTGTTTGGTATCACTGGAGTGGAGGATGCTTGGATTCTTGACTGAGGTGGGTTTGGATGTAATGAATTTCCTAAAGCCATTCCTGACTGACTGAGCATCCCACAGCTCCCACTAGCCTGCATCTGATTTATTAAACCTGCAAGATGGTTGGCTGTGCCTGGGCTAGTACCATGGACAAAGTTAGTGTTTGTGTTCTGGCAGTGCACACCTTCCCCTCGCAAGGGTAAACTCTGTGCCAGTGAGTTCTGGAGACTGCCAGAGTTCATACTGGTGTCTGCAAAATGCATCTGGTTACCAGCGCATGGTAAAGCAGTATTTGAGCTCCCACAGCTGGTGGTACTATTGCTGCTCATGTGAGAGCTTTGACAACTCATGGACTGAAGTAGCTGGGACATGGAACTGATGGGAAAAGAGCTTTGACTTTGCTTTCTTATCAGATCAGATCCAGCTTTGGAAACTCCAGAACTGTCCAACTGAGACTGTCTTAGCAAATTCAACACTGTGGTGGTCGGCTGCTTTCTTTTTCTCAGAGGATCTTTTTGCTGAGACATCAATTTATCTCTCAGTGCTGCTCGGCCACTTTGCCCTTCAGTCGTTGGTAGAAGCACATTGGCAGCAGGAGGGAACATGGTATTTAAAGTGCTATGTCCTTCATTGTTGCCACCACTGGCAACAGGTCCAGAATTGCTACTGCTGTTATTGTTGTTACCAGCAAGTTTATTTTGATTTGCTAGCTGTGCTTTGGCTGCTGCTGAAAGTAAACTGCTTGCTGGAAAAGAGGCAGCATTGTGCTGGTTCAAGATCTGATTTAAAGGCATTCCCAGCAAACCAGGCTGACTCTTCAAGGAACCACTTCCAGCCGATGCAGTAGAAAAAACTGCATTGTTTGGAGGATTTAATACATTACTCATTCCAGCAATTAATGGGTTAGGGATGTCCTTGTATTGATTAAGTCCATCATGCTTGGTGGAAGGGCTAGATGGCATAGATGGTCTTGGTGACCCTATTGTTGACCTTGGGGACCTGGGAGGAACTTTAATTCCACTACAGGATGACTGTGGTCCTACTGGAGGCAGCAGGAAAGTTCCATGATCTGATGATGTGGAGGAAGAACGTGATCTTTGGGGAGAAGCCTCGATCCTTCCAATCCCGGATCCCATCATATGAACTGGGGATGTCACTGGTGAAGGAGAGAGGGAAGTTGAAGCAGAATGTTGAACTCTTTGAACATGACTTCCATGGTTCATGTGACCAGGTTTTACAGTTGGCAAAGGAAGATTACTTGGCAAAGGGACGACAGCAGGAGGCATGCTTACATTCATCACGGGTACCTGAGAGTGGACATTTGAATGGAAAGTAGTTGGGTTAATGATAACAGGATTCTGATTCACTGGTTTGCTAGGAATAGGGTCAAGTATGCCAAGTGGATCCTTTTCCGATGTTAATGGCTTTTTCTGAAGAGCACAAGAAGGTGGTGGAGGAGGTGGGGGTGGACCTTGGGGTGGTTTATGGTGGAACATTGCTCGTGGTATTTCCATACCAGTTGAAAAATTACACATGGGTTTTTTCATTACTGGGCTTTTTGTGGTTAAGGTTGGGGAAAGAGGTATATTAGTCCTTCCAGCCATTGCACAGGATGACTGTATAGGAGAACCATGTAGCATTACTGATGGTGGAGACAGAGGTGTCCTGTTCATGTGAATAGGACTAGAATTGGGTGCTCCATGAAAATTGGGATTGTTCCTTGTGAAAACATCAGGGCTTCCAAGTGGGTCAGTCCTAGGAGAGATTGAGCCATCTCCGTATATCTGTGATCCTGATGAAGCTGGACTGGGCATCCCACCATGACTGCCACGATACGGAGACTTCTGTCCAAGTTCATTACTACCCAATCTCTGCCTAGGATAGACAGAATGAAGTTCTTGTTGCTGGCTTCCAGCCATTTCTTGCACATAAAGCCTACCCATGGCATTAGATGCCCCTATCATCAACTTGAAAGGAGTCTTACATTCTGGCATCACAGAATTTGTAATTCCTTCATGTGATTTATTCCTCATTGATCTTGGAGTTGCTGCTCGAGTAGGAACTACTGGAGTTGCACCTGATATTAAAAACACAACAGTTACTTTTTGAAATCACATATTTCAGTGCAAAACTGCTGTGTGTGAAAATATTCATAAAAGCTAGAAAACCTTTTGGCTAAACTTTTGCCTCTACAGAAATAATACCTAAATCATCAAGTAGTTGTGGAATGGTGCATGCTACCCTAGTATATAGTATAGATCTTAATTCCCATACAAAGACTGTATAAATATGGACAACTTTACATCTTTTTCCTTCCCTTTTGTCGTTTCTTTCTAACCATCATCTCTGGTGTCCTACTCCTGAATCTCCGGCATCACCAGTGTGGCTGCTGCTCAAAGAGCTGGCAGAAGCAGCAGGCTATCACTGTCGCAGGGAAAAGGAGCCTCTGGCACCATCTATTGAATGCAGGAGGAACAAAGCCCAACACAGGTTTAGACTAATTTCTCTTCACGCCACACGGAAAAGGGTCCTGCCCTAAATCCTGTCACTGTTGAGGATGAATGGGGAGCTGTGCCATATGACTTTGGCCCAGATTTGTACTCAGCAAAGCACTTAATTGGAGAGATTGAAGAGACTGTGGCTGTGTAAGGCAGGATGCAGCTTCTCTGGCTGCTCCGCATCATTTGCTGGTACCAAGAGCACTGAGTTCTAGTCCACAGAGTTAATGTGTTCCTGGGAACTGCCGTGCTAAAAAGGTGAGGACATATGTTACATCATATCTTGCATTTCTTTACTGAATTAAGGCTTTTCATGCAGTTTCTGCAACTAGCTTTGCTTGGGGTGAAGATGCTAAATTTAAGAAGGGGCTCTACCTTATACGTTTGTTTTTGGAATAAAGGCCTTGGGGATATTTGCATGTATGCAGACATGTGAACCCCTCTACAATTGAAAATTTTCCTGTATACCCCAGACCTTCCCACCAGCAGAAGACCACTATCATTTTCTGTCCACTAGTATCAGTTTTATTTAAAAAGATATATATATATTTTTTAACATTTAACCTTAAAAACACCATCAAAAAAGGAGCTCCAAGTCTGCTGGACTTTCTGCCAGTTTTTGTTGCTCTGGGAATTTGTAATTCAGTTTGGAGTACTTAGCATGCAGCCGCTGAATATGTAAATTTAAACTTGAATAACAAGTTGAAGATTTCATGTTCAAATGAATTCAGAGATGCCTTTAAATTCCTCTACTCAGAAGAACCCAATCCCCTTCTTTCCTTCAGCCTGGCCATAGGGGACAGATGGCACTGACAATTCTCCCTTCATTCTATTTGCTCAACCAGCTACACCGTGATAGAAACAAACATTACTTTTCCCAAAATACAACCAAAGTCTCTTTCAGGGGACAAATTTCAAGACTGAACTGCAAAACAAGGTAAGTACAAGAACCCTCACCTTGCATGCTGGATCTAAGCACACGGTCAAGTGTAAGTGTGCATAAATGAAGAGACATTTTGTTTCAAAAGCCAATTTATAGGGAAATTTTCTTTGCTTAGTGCACAAAATTCTGATCAACAGAGAAAGACCACATAAATGTGACTCATGTCTTTAATATTTAGTTGGGTTTACCTCCTTAATTTTGCTAATTAAAAAAAAGGTAATTTAAGTATGACTCAAAGAATAAAAAAATAAAGTGCATAGTAATTTGCAAAATTGCAATGATAGTTTAAAAAATGCACTGCAAAAAACAATTTAAACACAGCTTTAAAATAAAAAATAGCAGTTTGAAAATGCAAGAGCACATTGGTACTACAAGCAGCACTGGTTTCTTAGCATTGTCTCTGAATCTGAAATACATTATTTATTTTTATGCTCTTAAAATTTTCCACTTTGAAGTCAAGCTACAAAGCAGTTAGCCATTAGCCAGCTATTACTGCAGCAATATAGGGGCGCAAAAGAACTGTCAGATTATTGAGGGCCATTTCCCAGAAGTTGTGTGTACCAGAGTATATAACCATAAACTTTCCAAGCTCTGTCTTAAAAGTAACCTTCACTCCTTTGTCCTAACCATTTGGATTTGTAAGACTACTTCAGAACCCTTTCTTGTAATCCTTACAAAGTACCTACTTTTCAGTTGAAGTTTCTATGCAACTCTGGGTTTGTAGCTATTTCTTTCAGTACTAACTTTGTCCTCCAGCTTAAGGAGCTTTATTTCCGCAGTGATTCTCCTGATGCCTTTATTGCCAGCAATCACATCTCCTTTCAGCCTAACACTAACAGCTAAACACTTTTAGATGAGTTCCATAAACAGGCTTTGCAGTTCACTAAGAGCAAAGCCTCTGCTCTATTTCAGCTTGAGTGCCACTAGCGAGAACAGCAGTGCAGGAAGGCAGCACACATACAACAGCATTTGTACTTCTCTTTGAGTCACACTGATCTGCACTACACTGCCATCTGGTACTGCTCACAGACATCTTTGATCAGCTACTATACCTAGATCTTCTTTCTCAATAATTTACAGCTGACAGCTTTTTTCACTAGTCCCAGGTGAATGACCTCACAATTAACAGGATTTGTTGCTATACCTTTTCTTTTCACTCCTGGTCTCTATGATCCCCCAGTTTTTCAACATGTTTTGATCTTCTCTTGTTTTGCCAACACCTGTCAACTTCACCCATCAACAAATTGCCTCATTTTTTGTTGATATAGATCATTAAGATGCTAATCCAGGTTGGTCCCCCCAAATAATCCTTCAGAAATTACAGTGGAGATCTTCTCTTACTGTATATTCTGCCTTGCAATACAATTTCCCATTTAGTCAAGTCCTTAGCCACATTCTAATCCCTTTATAATCACTTTATTCTGCTTCTCTAATTTCCCATGTGACAGAATATCAGACATATTACTACAGTTCCAAAAGATGGGAGCTAATGTATTTTCTTTGTCTAGAACAATCTGATATCTTTTCCAAGAAAATCATGCTCTTAAGTCTGTGCTGACCTGCTTTTTAGACTCATTTTCTAACCACCTACATCCCTCTAATTGCTACCTCAGTTTTTAACATGGATCTGTTTACTATTTTGCTCATAGATACATTAGACTTTCAGGGGTGGTTCTGCATAGTAATTACATATATTTAAAATTAAGTAACTGAATGATTCTGCATGGTTTTACTTACTTGTTCCACCACCAGGACTAGTTAGAACTAGTGAAGGATGTGGTGCTTCCATGCTTTTATGAAGTGTAGCCACAGCAATAATTTTCCTTTTATGTATGCATAGTTTGGTGACATCTTCGTCTGCCTTAACATCTTCAGCAGTTCTTTGCTTCACAGCAGCTCCAGGATCAAAATTAAAGACCTGAGGGTAAAAATTCCAGGTTTAAAATAGTCATTAGGGGTAGCAAACTCACCAAATATACCTAAACCAAAAATTTTACATAGAATTAAACTTGCCACAGTTCTGTAGAGCTATCCGACTGCTCCTACACTGCCCAAGAGATACTTTCATAGCACATTTCAAGTTTATAAATAAAAAGTGAATATAAACAGTAACAGCCATGGAAGTTGTCACCTAGCAGCAGAACTTTAACACTCCGCAGTATCAAGAGTATGGAGGAAAAAGAGAAAGGACCATGCGTATTTGAGACTGCCCCGTGATTAAGAAGAAAAGTTTCAATTTATATATAGAACATAAAATTGCAAAGCTGATACTGAAGCTATCACACAAATCAGTGTTTCACCCTGATTCTCCCATGTTAACATGATGCTGCTGACAGTATGTTTCCAGTTTAATAGTAAAATTTTCAAACACCATAAAACCTGAGTCAGATTTTTTCCATGAAGGAAAAACACAGAGAGCAGATTAATTTTTGGTAAATTTTATGGTAAATCTTTAGGTATATACCATTTATCTCATTTCATATATATATGATCTGAACAACGACTAGCATGGCATAGCACATCAGATGACATAGCTCATAAGGATTATAGTACAGAGATCCATAATGATGTTTTTCTTTACCTTGGGAAGAACAAGAGGACATTCTAGGCCACACTTGCATGTTCCATCAGTCAGCAAGTAAGTCTTCACCTGCTCCAAGCAGGATAATAAAGACCCACTGGGACTGTAAAGGAACAGAGAGGATGAATACAAGCTATTTGATATATCATGACATCTACTTACCATCCTAACAGCTCACATACAGAGTGTTTATGATAACACAGCTGATATTTTGTATTTTTTTTTTATAGTACTTCTTGCTTTTAGTCAGGAACTGAGATGATACTTATCAAAACCAGCTCTCCAACCTACATTTTAAAGGAAGATTTTACTATAGAAAAACACAGCAAATACAAAAAAAAGAAACTCATATTATTGATACGTAATATTCACATTAAAGCCCTGCTTGAAAGCCTTAACTACTGCTTAAATACACTAAGAGATTATTTTTCTCCCTCCTCTCTCCTATTAAGTGTAACACAGGCAGAGTGCAGTCCCCATGGACCTCCTTCCCTTCTATCACATCACTGCAGCTCCATGCAGGCATGACACTCATCTGTATTTTTTAGGAGTGTGACCTCATTTAAAAAGAAAAAAACCCCACAAAAGTGTGCTGCAAGTCTGAGAAAACACATGCAGCAAAGGGGCCACAGTAATAAAAACTGTTGTGGTCGTGTCTCTTAGTTGCATAAACAATTTGATTTCATTCAGCTAAAATTTCAACCCTCTGACTGAAAGTGAGAAATATTATACCAAGAAGGCAGTCTAGTGAGTTTCTGATAAACTGCACTTGGATTTCGTTAACTCCCACCAAAAAATCATTATCTCCACATCCAAAAATAGGACACTGGAAATTCTGTTACGGCAAAATCACTTATTCATAAGATGAAAAAGTTCTCATGTCACAAGCCTCTAACTTCCAGATTGCTCTTTATTACTTGGCCATCTAAGCTGTTTATCAGGGAAAGAATACAGTAATTTATGAGGACAGCTAAACCACTGGTTCTTAATGGCAGCTGTAAACAGCCCTTATTTTAACAAAACCAACTTCAGTGGAATGGTGTAGATCACAAAAAAGGAGTCAAAATTCCAAACTATGATGAGCTTGCTTTCTCAAACCCAAGTGTATAAGCACTTAATTCTGCGCAAGAACAAAATAACACATGAAGATACACCTGCAAGTGGCATTTAAAGTTATGGCGACAATTTAAATAAGTAATTTATTTGCCTGACTTGACCTGAAATAGTTACTTCAGAGAACTGTCCAGGTCACTGTGTAACAGTGACAGTTCTGTGGGTAAGCAAGGTAAGGCCAGGCTGGATGAGGCTTTGAGCAACCTGGTCCAATGGAAGGTGTTCCTGACAGTGGCAGGGGGTTTGGAACTGGATGGTCTTTTAGGTACTTTCCACCCCAAACCATTCTATGATTCTACAATAAAAGAGCAATCTAAAAATAATGGTACAGATAGGAAGCAATAGGTCAGAAGGTCACCTTCCCAGTCTTAAGCTGAAATACTTGGTAAGCAGAGGGAAATTACTTTTTATTTTTCTGTATCTTCATTTCAGCTATAAACTGGTTAAACCATGATGCTGCCATTATCATATTTTAACTCGGTGTCACTTGTTCTCTACAGGTCTGTATTTCCAGCGCTGGCTGACCACTTTGGACTTTCCTGGCCTGCCCTGTCTATTCATGCAGGAGCAACTGCTCACCCCACACACAGTCCACACACAAAGATGCAACAGCTTCCCATGGGAGAAACTCAAGACTGGCATTTACTCTACACTATCCCACCTACGTGCGAAATCTTTACAGACACTTTCTGTGACACTTAAAAACTCATGTTAAAAGCTGTCCCTGGGAATATGCTTTGGAGTCAGGATGACATTTTATTTGCATTGGTGAAACAGCACAACTGAGCAGCGAGAGTAAACCTATACCATCAAGAGTTCATTTTACACCCTCCCTTATCCTAGAGTAAAGCAATTTTAAATATCCTTCCTTGGTGTGTGGTTTGCATAGGCACACATCCCATACACTGACCATCAGTGGGTGGAAAGGAAGATTGGGATACTGACCCTTACCAGAAAAGTGCAGATCAGCCCACTGAATCTGTGGCATGTGGGATTCAGCACTCCTACTGCACATAAACCATAGAATGGTTTGGACTGGATGGGACCTTAAAGATCACAGAATCATAGAATAGTTAGGGTTGGAAAGGACCTTAAGATCATCAAGTTCCAACCCCCCTGCCATGGGCAGGGACACCTCACACTAAACCATATCACCCAAGGCTCTGTCCAACCTGGCCTTGAACACTGCCAGGGATGGAGCATTCACAACCTCCTTGGGCAACCTATTCCAGTGCCTCACCACCCTAACAGGAAAGAATTTCCTCCTTATATCCAATCTAAACTTCCCCTGTTTAAGTTCGAACTCGTTACCCCTTGTCCTATCACTACAGACCCTAATGAAGAGTCAGATGATAATGAAAGATCATTCTAGTTCCAACACTCCTGCCATAGGCAGGGACGCTTTCCACTAGACCAGGCTGCTCAAAGACCAGTCCAACCTGGCCTTGAACACTGCCAGGGATGGAGCAGCCACAGCTTCTCTGGGCAGCCTGTGCCAGGGCCTCATCACCTTCACAGGGAAGAATTTTTTCCTAATATCTCATAAATCTACCCTCTTTCAGTTTAAAACCACGCATATATGCATGGTTATTTGTTCACAAGAATCAAAGATATTTTAAAAAGGCCTTTTTCCTGGACAGACCTGTTTAATCGCAAAGTATCTTCTGTGTGCATAAGTTTCCTCACGGTCCTATACTTCAAAGGATAATCCACAGCTTCCCATGTAAGAAAATACCAGCTTTTTTTCAGCGCTTAGGTAATCCAGAAGTTTTAGGCCTCCCGAAAAACCAAGGAAGAGCGAATGATAAAATATATTCATATCTGTTACTGACAGTTGAGATACCTGTTCCCTTTATTAAAGTGCTTTCCTCAGTTTATTCCACTGATGACTTCATGAACAGTAAGCTGAAGACAACACTTAGGTGCTACTTTAAGGCAGTAGCACTGTTTTGCCTAGAAAATCACTGAGACTCAGTGCTTTTATCAGGTAACAAAAACTGGTTAATTAATGGGTTTACTCCAAAGCAACTGTTAACAACTGATAGAAAAGCGAGAACACTTTATAGAATCATAGAATATTTAGGGCTGGAAAGGACCTTAAGACCTTCTAGTTCCAACCCCCCTGCCACGGGCAGGGACACCTCACACCAAACCATGTCACCCAAGGTTTCGTCTAACCTGGCCTTGAACACTGCCAGGGATGGGGCATTCACAACATCCCGGGGCAACCCATTCCAGTGCCTCACCACCCCAACAGGAAAGAACTTCCTCCTTATATCCAGTCTAAACTTCCCTTGTTTAAGTTCGAACTCGTTACCCCTTGTCCTATCACTACAGACCCTGATGAGTCCCTCCTCAGCATCCTTGTAGGCCCCCTTCAGATACTGGAAAGCTGCTATGAGGTCTCCATGCAGCCTTCTCTTCTCCAGGCTGAACAGCCCCAACTTTCTCAGCCTATCTTCATACTGGAGGTCCTCCAGTCCCCTGATCATTCTCGTGGCCCTCCTCTGGACTTGTTCCAACAGTTCCATGTCCCTTTTATGTTGAGGACACCAGAACTGCACACAATACTCCAAGCGAGGTCTCTCGAGAGCAGAGTAGAGTGGCAGGATCAGCTCCTTTGACCAGCTGGTCATGCTCCTTTTGATGCAGCCCAGGATACGGTTGGCTTTCTGGGCTGCAAGCGCACACTGAAGCCGGCTCATGCTCATTTTCTCATCAGCCAACACCCCCAAGTCCTTCTCCACAGGGCTGCTCTGAATCTCTTCTCTGCCCAACCTGTAGGTGTGCCTGGGATTGCTCCGACCCAGGTGTAGGACCTTGCACTTGGAAGGAAGAATAACTAGAATGAGTCCTTATTCAGCTGGGATCATGTATTCTAGTTAAATCATGTCAGATCTTATTAGATACACTAATTTTCCCTTGGACAGCTTTTGCATCAATATTGCTTGGCCTTTCATTTCTCAGTAAATGCTGTGTGTATTTTCAGGGTGGTTGCTCCTTCAGAAAGGCAGAGCAGCACTGGAGCAGTTTACCCACAGAGGCAGTGTAAACTCAATCCATGAAGATGCAGCTGGTGAAACCAACCTTTCCTTATGAAGGGCTGACCTGATCAAGCGCTGTGGGTGCTCCATGTCAAGCAGAAGGTTAGAATATTTGACTTCCATCCCTCCCAGCTAATACATCCTACCATGTGACTTCCACCAAACAAGAAAGTAAGAGTTGTGTACCATGATAAATAACTTTTCTTAATCAGAAGGGCTTACAGAAGGCAATCAGAAAATTAACCACTGGATTAAAGAGAATTGGGAAGTGGACAGAAATAATACCAGCTTCCCCAAGCTGAAAAAAGTAGCTAGCAAACCTAATAGGATCAACAAGACTAAACCAAGTGTTTTGTGTAAGGCAATTCAGAACGGAAATATTAAGAAAGTTTCCCTGAACAAAGAAAACATAAAAAAAAAGATAGAAATTCAAGTAACTGTCAGAATTATACCAACATTTACTAATTTATAAACATGTAAGACACACGCTTGAAGAAGCAGCACAAGCTTTCTGGCCTGCTTCTTACAGCTTCAGAAAATGAAGTTCAAAAGCAGGTAGGTTCATCAGGCATATAAAAATACTAAAGCATTGTATGTCTTGACGCCTGCATACGTAAATGATAGGGGAAAAAAAACAACCTACCAACAACTTTGTCTTTCTCATTGATTTTTAACTAAGGCAGATGCCCAGTAAATTACAGCTGTAATGAGAAATACAAGGGGAAGGTGATTTATTGTTGACATGCATATCACTGACATGGATTTTGTATGATTCTGCTAATTGAGAATATAAACAAGAAACACTGGAATGCATTTGATCTTTTATGGTAGTTTAGTGTAAAATTGGAGTATGCTTTGACTCATTAAAGAATTTTGTATTGGTAATACACAAAATATGAAGAAGTGGTTATTTTAATCACAGACTAGTGGAGTAAGATTAAGCAAATAACTGACTGATAATCATTTAGAACTCTGTGACGTAAACCTGATGTACCCATATTTTGTTAAAGTTAACTTTGATCTTTTTTCCAATAACATTTAATTTATAGTCTGTTTGTCTGAACTCATTAATTTAATAGTAAGTTCAATGCATTTCTTTGTGACTATTCCAGGGAGAAGAAAAAAAATATAAAATCCAATAAGCTAACAAACAATCAAATAACGAACAAAAATCCAATAAGCTAAACAAATATGATTATTTGTTTGAATAGGATACTTTAAACTTTGGATTTAGGCTTGTGCTCTTGTCTGTCCTACATGAAAAATGTGGGGAATCTACAGAAGTAAGTCTTGTTGGAGAATGTCGGTGTTACTGGGACAAAGGATCTTTAAAGGGCATATAAAACCTGACATTTTCTGCAGCTACTAAGGAGTTGCACCACTTTAATTTCCTTTCAAAAGAGATTAGGTAAAACACAAAAATATAATGGAGACCTGGAAGATAAACCCAGAAAAGACTTATGGAAGAGCTACAGACTGTCAGGATAAAGCTGCATGGTACTGCATAAACTGAGCTGAAGGCTTGCTGCTGACAGAAGACAGTCTCTGCCTTATCACTCATGAACTGTTTGCATGTCTCACCATGGTGTTGAATTCAACCAGCAAAGCCTTTTACAAAAAGCCCAAGGTGGTGCAAGGAAAAGGCAATGCCTGTGCACCTGGGAATCTGCAAAAGCAGAGATTTCTTAACGTCTCAAATGTGGCATGTAACTAAAACTTTGGTTAGTTTCATTGCAAAAGGTTTGAAAAATAAAGATGTTAAGTAAGGTTAAATCTGCTACTGCTTAGCTTTAAAACCCATATGACAATGATACGTAATAAAGAACTATTCATGCCTAAAGCAAAGTATGTATTATTATCAAATTTTCAAGACCTAGCAGTATTAGATTTCAGACTATGTTAAGGGCATGCAAATGGCACAACTGACATAAGTGAACTCCACTAATATCAGCAGAAAAAATGATCTTGCACTTCAAAAAGACCAAGTTCTGAAGTTTTTGAGTACAAAAGATCAGCTGACTGAGTAATTCACATGTTCTGGCAAAACTACAACGAAAACAAAACCAGTAACCACTTCAGATAACCTTACCTGATATAGAGCACTCCACTTTGGTCCACCCTTCGCTGCCAACCAACGGGAACTTGCACTGCTGGTGGCCCTCCATCTGTGTCCCCTCCGTCACACTCCTTTCCACCATTCATTTTTCTGTTTCTGTTTATGAGTCTTCAAAGATATCAACAGTAAGATGATATCCTTTTACTACATATCATCATGGCCCCCCAGAGAAGGCCATTGAGTACACCTTTCCCCAAACTGTACAAAGTGCATTGGGAGGCTCCAGCTCAGCTTGAAACCAAGTCCTTAAAAGTGGCCATTTTTGTTAATGAGTCACTTTTCCATTATAATCCACATTAAATATGCAATGTTAGCTCCTTATATATTCATAAGGATGAACTATATAGATAAAAATTAGTGCTTCCAACTTGGGAAAATCATAATTCACCAATCCTTTGTTACCTGTCAGAAAGGAGAATGGGGAAAAGGAGAATTTCTAGTTCAACAGCATGGCTCCAAGCTTGATGACTGTCTAAGATAACTTGTTTTTTGTGAAAGCTTGTCTCATTTTTATAAATATGAGTCAGATCTAATACCTCCAGGTATTATACCCTTTATATGCCACATTCTTTTTGTTTTCTTTTTATCTTCCATTCATTTTCCAAGTTGTCTTCTTGAGTTTCTTTCATGATTCCCTGGCTCCAATAAAACAGCCTGAAAAATACAGATACAGAAAACACATGAGCCATTTTCTGAAGTCTCTCAGAACAGTTCTGTAACTCAGGAAGATGTATACAGCTGCATCCATTTAAAGAGCTTACAATCAAAATTTTAAATGTCAATGGAACTACCAAAATAAGGCTTAGGGTGAATAAAATCCTGCTAGCATATTCTATTTATATGTGGATGCAACAGGGCTACATCTTAAAAGCTATGAGAGTGCAACTGTTACTAAATAGTTAACGTACAGTTTGAGTGAATTAAGGGATTTATCTTTTAACTGAATAGTTTTACATATGCTTCTGTTCAGAATTATCGACAGATGACTAGCTCAATTAATGCCCTTTGAAATTTGTTTATAAAGCTGAATGAATTTAATGTGAAGCGAGATGGTTCTAGGGTTGGTAGTATCTATTAAAATGGGAACTCCCCGCATTTAGACTAGATTAACAATCTTACAAAAAATTTTATAAGAAGGAAAAAGCCATCATCAATACACTGCTCTCAGAATATCTGTGAAGCAATCTTAATATCACAAGTAATAATTCCCCTCATATGATTATACTGTACAAGCAAATCTTCATGAAAGAAGGTCAGAATGATGTAAAGTGTGGTGTTCCCCCAAAATAGTTTTTCAAGTTGTCCAGGTGAGACTTAACTCTTGAGGTGGGACATTTTATTAAGGTGAGACAAACATGGAATATGCAATTCAAACAGTAAATAACTCAGAAAAAAACCCCAAGCCCGAGAACTCAAAAGTAAGATGTCATTGATGACTACCATAGTAACAATGTTAACAGGTTTTATTTGGAATCTCATGTCAATTCTGACTTATTCCTAACACTAATGTTATGCTAATATTTTAAAACATAGTGTTACGACAGACCTGACGGATTTTAGTAAGAAAAAGTTTCTTGAGGTAGAGATGGAACACAAATATGTAGCATCCTAAAAGATTTCCGCAACAACAATACCAACAAGACATTACATCTATATTTAACAGTCACAACAGATCCTTCCTTCAAGACCACTAAAGGAAGACTACAGAGGCATAAATACAGTCCTCAAAAGTATCTCCTTAGGTACACTTAGGCAGTACGTCCTCTTTAGATGTGCTAGTTAGAAATGTCAAGTTCAAAATGCTACATAAAGAAAAAAAAATAAATGGCCATGATATTTACAAGAAGGGTGTGGACTAGAAAGAAGCTGTGCGGACATATCCCCTTTGTCTAAGGCACTGAAATCTAAAGAACATAGTGCAATTTTCAGAATGAACGTGATTTTCTGCAGGACAAAGCCTTCTAGAACAGTCTGGCACTGTTCTGCAAGGATCTGTTTCAACTTTGTTGTGCTCCAGAGCACTCCAACAGGATGTAACCCATGGCTGGCCAAAATCAGGGAAGGGATAAGGGAACAATGATGAGACCTCGCACACTGACAGTGGTGAGGTGACCAAGTACCAACCAGCAAGGGTTACAGTGAATGCACCTTGCTCTCTCTCTCCTATGAAAACAATCTACCCTTTAATCTCTAAATCTGGTGCACAGAAATAGGATTTGGAGAGCACTTGGCAACAGTTCAGGACTCTAGCAGGTTTTCAGTGTGGAAGTTCTGGCATTTGATTGGTTTTATCCTGATTAAGAAGGTAGCAGGTGATGCTTCATCAAAACTAAGGCAGAATTTACCTTCAAGTTTCAGCATTATTGCTGAATGCTGCACTGGTATTTTTATTGTAGGCCTTGTGTAAGGCTGAAACAGGTACATAATTTCCCTAATATTTTAAAAGAGAATTAACATTTTGTAATACAGTAAAATCAGAATCAGAAAATACATATTTAAAATACTGGAAGCACATAGAAAGTGCTGTTCACCTCTTAGCTTAGTTTGCTGCGGCTCATGTTGCTGTTTAGAGCAATTGCACTGGATCCATTACAAGAAAATAACAGCCACCCATTTCTGTTTTTGCAAAAGCAGCAAGAGAGATGCTTTGAAGCAACTTTGTATTTCTACCGGTTCTGCAATGTTGTGCCTCAGCTAACATATCATTCCATCACAACCATAATACTCATCATCTAATCAAGATAGACCATTTTTCTATAGTGCATATAGCTTGAAATAGTACTAAAAGAAGCAAAATAATTCAATTAACTGCTGCTTCTTTGGGAAATACTTAAACATGTTTACTCAGTACAGTGAATTGGAATAAAAGTCACAGAATGGTTTGGGTTGGAAGGGACCTTAAAGATCATCGAGTACCAATCTCCCTGTCACAGGCAGGGACACCTTCCACTAGACCAGGTTGCTCAAAGCCCTGTCCAGCCTGGCCTTGAACACTGCCAGAGAAGGGGCAGCTACAGCTTCTCTGGGCAACCTGTGCCAGTGCCTCAGCACCCTCACAGGGAAGAGCTCCTTGCTTCCTAATGTCTAATCTAAATCTCACCTCTGTCAGTTTAAAGCTATTTCTTCTTGTCAAGTCTCTACATGCCCTTGTAAAATGCCCCTTTCCAGCTTTTTTTTTGGCCCCTTTAGGTAATGGAAGCTGCTCTAAGGTCTACCCAGAGCCTTCTCAAGGCTGAACAAGCCCAGCTCTCTCAGCCTGTCTCCATAAGAGAGATGCTCCGGCCCTCAGAGCATCTTCATCGACTCCTCTGGACTCACTCCAACAGGTCCATGCCCTTATGTCGGGGGTCCCAGAGCTGGACACAGTACTGCAGGTGGGGTCTCACCAGAGTGGATCGCTTTTTCTTTAGGAGTACTAAAGAACTGCAAACTAACACAAGGATTTGAGTGGTGTCAAAAATGAGAATGAATCAGTACGATGATCCATTTTCCATGTTTCTCCAGGTACAAAAATACCCCAAATATTACACTCATCCTAAACAGAAATATTGAACTATTCACATTATCGACGTTTGACCATTTATCTTGTAATTTACTGTGCTCATATGCAAGCTGCAGTCTGCGAGGACACATCAATGTGCCTGTGTGCAATGAATCATGCAAAGGAGGGATAAAACTTCCTGGAAGCCTCTTAGTACATGGCTAATCAGTGTGTAACTAGCCATGTAGAAGTACATAGGTAATCGGTGTGTAACTAGTCATGTTGTATAGGAACACACTCAGAGAGGTGAGATTTTTTGACTAAACCCCAGCATGGTTCTGTGCAGATTTCCAGATTTCCACAAACTGCAGGCAATAAAATACCCAGTACATCTGCTAACCATTGCACTTTTCTATCTGGCATTAATGGCAGAAGTAAGAGTTTGCCAGTGAAGGTTTGGTATTGAAATCCTTCACTAAACCACATGTGCAGAGTTGCTGTTTTATTTTATTTGTAATTAAACATAGTACCTGTCTCTTCAAGAAGAGTTAAACCCTCTCAAACCCAATTCATCAAAGGACACCCTCTGCATTTCCCAATAGCTGGTTGTCAGGAAAAAAAAAAAAAAAAAAAGGGATCTGAGGAAGGTAGCAGTGAAAACCAGGATGAGTTATTTAAATCAGGCTGGGTCTGGGTCTTTCTCACCTTAGTGCTGGCATAGGCTTGTTTTACAATGTTTTATATGATAAGGCAGCCTAGCTGCAAAGCTGTAAGTTTAAAGGGACAACTGGAGGTGATAGTGGCACTGCTCTATTAGGTTTGGCAAAGTGCTCTATGACTGAAAAGACATTTAAATCCCAGTAGGGATCAGCCTGACCGTGAATACTCTGACATTCAGAGCATCCATTTGACTATGACTCTACATTTCTTACCAGTCCAGAACCTTCCAACTTGATTGCAGAAAAATCTCATCCCTTGATGTACCATTTTCCCCTTCTCCATCAATGTATTCTATCTGAAGTACTTTGGATTGGGATAGAATGTGTTTGGATTTTGGATCAAATTCAAAGTATTCTGGACATTGGATTCTGTCCAAATGCCTGATTTTCATCAACCCATGTAATAAATACCTCTTCTCTGTAATCTCATAACAACTCCAGACAACTCATGTTATCTCACCACAAGTAACACAACTTTCCACATCTAAATCAATTACTTCTTTTTTTTCTGTGTGCCAAGACACGCTGTTTAGATTTGTTTTGCAGTTCAGTTTCATTACAATATGCTTTAAAATGTTTCACTGGAGAACTATGCAAAACTACACTGAATTGTTTTCCCCCTTTAGCTCCCTCAAACCCTCCCCCATTTCTCCTTAGTTTTCATATGCTGAAAGTATGTTTTCAATTCTTAATGCAACTGTCTCACTTTTTGAAATACTGCATTTTAGGAAGCTTCTTTGCACAGTCAGCTCTTTATGTTTAACAATTTTTTAGTCAAGTGGTGGAATAAAAACTTGGTGCAAAGTCAAAAGAAACTTAGATACTAATAGCATGGATTCAGTTCTATCACATGATATGAATACCAATATAATGTTTATTTTATTAATAGGTAGATGTAAAGCCAGCTAAGACAAATTCTGACAAACATGCTCCATTACTTTCTCCTTACATGGATTTCAGAGTGTGCCTAACAATCACACATATTGCAAAGGCTACTTAAGAGGTCTACAACCAACGTATACCTCTCTGATGTACAAATCCAGTGCTTACTTAAGGAATGACTAGATTCTGGGTATAAAGTAAAATGTACACAAAACACTGCTTATAGATACTTTCCAAAATCTCATTTTCCAGGCTTTCCTTTCTATCACAGAAAAACCTACAAGATGCATTCAGAAATAGAAACACCTTCATGGTCTTGGGGTTTCAAAAATAACAGGAAGCCTTAGCGTCTTAAACAGCATTATTTTTAAACCACACAGAGTTAACTTGAGTTTTCATTTAGTTATCACTTGTACATTATTAATCTGTTTAAGTCTATCAAAGCAATTAGTTAGGATTCTCCTGTATAATCTAATGAGATACAAATGTTGCATCACTTTTTGGAAACACTTTTCCATTTTGAAAAGAAGCATTCTCTTGACTAATTAGATTGGTATTGAACACTTTATAAAGCCCTATTTTCAGGTGAGTGATTCAACAAACGAATGTGCCTGAAGTATAAAGGAAACCTTTCTTCTTTCAACTGTATTTCACTGTATTGGCATCGAAGACACTAATACAGCTATATATATGATATACTCTGGCCTTTGGTTTGAGAAAGACATCTTTATATTACTCGTAAATACAGAGTATTAAGAATACATTGCAACAACCAGAAAGCTGATCTTCACTGAATGACTGAATTAAAGCATACATTTTAAATTGCCCTACTGTCAAACCAGTTTATACCAGTCCAACCACCTTTGGTACTGAATTATTTTTAACTGTATAAACGACAGTTGTATAATGTACTGTAGCAAGGCTTATATATTCCTAATATATACTGCCTTTGATTCCACAGAACTTTTTAGGATCAGAAGACACCCAATTTAACCACTCTATAAAATCATGGCTATTTGGATGAATTCACTCATAAATAGTGAAAAAACCTTCAAGAGTCCAAGCCTCTGTACCTGTGTCTGTATCCACAGCCACTGACAGTCACCAGCAGTCCACTGGACACGCCCCAGCTCAGCCAGCCTTGCCCACCTGCCTGCAGGTGGAAAGCACCCTGTAGTATTTGGTTTCCTATGCTGCCAGACTATACGACCAATACAGTCACTTCAGACTGACTATTAAGGGATCTACACTAATACAACAATAAGGACAAGATTCTCATGGAGAAAAACTTGATTATGTTCACAGATTCTACATGAGCATTAAAAGCACAAAATAGCAATCTCTTCCATAGGATCATTTTGGAGTAGCATGCTGTTAAATAATCAGAAGTGGTAACTTTAAATCTGATATCCTTCCAACCAATGTTAATAGTGCAGGTAAAAACTAAGAGTTCATTGAGGTGCACTGTATCCTTAAACCCCAGAAACCTTCCCAAGGTATGACTGCCTTTTAACACATATATCTGCATAACACTGGAGTTGGGAGCAACTGAGGTTTTCCCTTTCCAATAAAAGAATGGAGAAAGCACACCCTTTCAAGAACTCCCTTTGTGTACACATGTGCATGTATCCATTCACACAGCATCTCTGAAAGAGTTTTGACAAAAAAGCAACAGTGAGCTATATGACAGTCAAAAAAGATGGCAGGAAACAAAAGGATTTTCTTTTTAAAACCTCAGCTCTGTCCACTCAATAAGAATTTAATAAATACAACAGATAGAATCCACTGAAGAATACAGAAGAGTCATAATGCTCTTTCAGGCCTTCCACCACATTAATTTTTTTCTTTACAAGAGAAATAGGTCAAAACTGTGTGCATATGTGTAAGGCCTACTTTACTTCAAAGTAATGTAACTACTCAGTTTTTTTGTGTTTTTTTTTTTTTTTTTTTTACATCAAATTAATATCTGGTATGCTATTTAAATCAACCAGGTTATTCTGTAGGTAAGAATCACAACACCATTACCAAAACGTTTACTAGGGAATACTATGAAATAGAATATTATCAAGCTATAGGTTAGTAAGAAGTGAAGAAACAGTATTACAACCATTGTCACTTTATGGGAACTTGCATAATAAAATAAGGAATTTATAAACAATGTCCATCTTCAGCTACCTACAAATCTAGGAAAAGCAATCCTGGACTCGGATGTTTTTGTTTTCTGTGTTTGGTGGGTTTAGTTTTTTTTTGTTTGGGGTTTATTTTAATGGGAAAAGCTATTTTCAATGGTCTTGTTTCAATCTGCAGGCAAAAAGCTTCAACAGTCTTACAGAAACTGGTTAGTTATTTTTTGAAACAAGACAAACTATTTTGCAGCAGAGAAGAAGTGCAAAACAAGGTTCCTTGCTGAGGATTTAAGGACTAGGTTTTCTCCAATATGAAGAGAAATTACACTTGAACTCCTTTTTCTGAATGGCTTTTCTTCTGTTATTTTCTGCTTTCTTCATCACACAGCAATGACGTACCATCAGTATGTATCAGTTCTGCAACTGAGAAGGCCACGTTTTCTGAGTCCCCTTTAGGTTTTGTCTGAATAGGAATTTCTGTCTCCTCCAAAACTCATCTTGCCATAAGAAAGGTACAATTCTTAAAGTGTTTTGATTTTGTTGATGTAATGTGTTTTCAAAACTTAGTATTTTGAAAAAAGCAAGTGTAAATCTTAATTCTCAGTGGCTTCATATATCTTTCATGGTTAGAACACCGAAACTTTTCTATACTAACTGTCACTCTATTTGAACTATCAAGCTCTAAAAGAAGGAAAGTCACCACGACTCCAAGACAAGAAAAAAAGATGTCTGCTAAATGTGGAAGCTAAAAAAAAAAGGCAATCTTTGCCTTCAAGAGAGAGAATTCAGACCTTTGCAGGCAAACTCCCACAACAGAAGAGGATATTAATAGACAAAAATCTGCTTTGTTACAGTGGGATCTCTCGCTAACATAGCACACTGATTCATCAGAAAACAACCACCAAAGATATGCACATTTGTAAAAAATGATAAAGTTAAAATTAACATAGAATTGAAAGGATTTGGCTATAAATACTTTAAAGTTTCACACCAAAGTTAAAATTACTTCAAAAGATCCAAGCACATGAATAAACAAATAACACACTTGTTTCAATTATCATGATTCAGGCTTCCAAAAATCTGGAATTACCAAATACAGTTTAATAATGGTTTTAGAATGAAGATAATATAAATTTAAGGAACATCTGATACAAAACATTCTTAAGATACCTAATAAATACATGCAGAAAATAGATATGTAATAACTATCTGTAAGTGTTCAGTTCTACTTGACAGATGCCTACGTTATTGACTTACCCGTTACTAGGGAAATACAAAAAAAAAAGTTAATTTCAAAATAAAAGAATACTTTGTGATTCTTTCAAAACCTGAATATGAAAACTCAATTAGATTTTATGTAAGCAGGTGAAAGGCCCCAAGGTGCTGGCGTAACAATTACTGGATTAGCCCCTGATCTCCATTAACTGTGCACAGTGATATAAAAAATTAAGAAATAAACAGTAAAAATGAAACTCACACTCCCATATCTTAAATGCAGAGGTCTCAATAAATTATGTAAGCTTTCTTTGTATTAGACACCTTAAATTCAGGACACAGCAATATTTAAATAATCTGAATAATTCAAACTGAATTTCTGTGCAAGAGAATGTCAGACACATAGTAGGACTGCAAATTAAACCTGTAAATTATACTTTTGTGCCAAAGTAATAAGTCACATGACCATACTATTTTTAGACACATGGAATTTTTTCTCCAAGTGCTATTTTTTAAATTGTTTACTGAATTCTGTAGCTCTACTCAGCAATTTCCCTAATGAAAATACTCTTAAGATATTAAAAAAATAATGATAGCATAAAAATCAGCTATTCAGACACATTAATGCAAACTCTACAGCCTTATCTGGCAGAAGTGTAATAGTGTTGAGAGCTTGGGCTGCCTTTCTGAAATGTGGTATGCTACAAACCTGTACAGCATGATAGATGAATCACTGGCATTAGTAGGTTATTACTTACTATCTTCGAGTGATACACTAATTGAATGTGTAAGTACTTGGAGAATTTGGCCCCACTGTTTTATTTAAGAGATAGAGTTCCCCCTGTTTTCTAAAAGAGGACTCAGAAGTTAAGGACATTTATAAAACAAAAAAGTGAGTGATTTTTGATCCTTTTAAATGCTTTCACTCCATGAAAATTAAGACAATCATTTTTTCGATACACAAGAGGTCCATTACTTGTCAGTTTAATCATTTTTAAATGGATCTCTGTGAAGGCTTGTATACATGACCTTCTATAGCTTCTTTTTCTACTTACACTAGTCTGAGACAGCTGTTTTATAAATATACCGATTGATTTAAAAATACTCTTTCTTATCCTTATATTAAAACATCACATTTCGTTTGTTACTTAAGGTCTCTGAAGTAAGTAATTCACATACAAAATACTACAAAGTAGTTCTTAATATACTAATTAACAAGAGGGCATAGGATTAAAAAAAAACAACCAACAAAAAACCTGACCTTTTTCCTCATGAAGCGTTAGATTGAAGGTGGGTATCTTCATCTTGTTCATTCCAAGCTGAAAAATAAAGAAGCAGTTGAAACCGTAGTAATCAGTTGATACAGTCCTCTTATGATGTTAAGATTTTAATATTAAAACACAGAATAGTTTGGTTTAGAAGTGTCTTCCAAAGGCCATCTAGTCCACTCCCCCTGCAAGAAGCAGGGATATCTGCAACTGGATCAGATTGCCCAGAACCACATCCAGCTTGGTCTTGTACGTCTCCATGGATGGTGCATCCACCACCTCTCTGGGCAACCTGAGCTGGTATTTTAGCACCATCACTGTAAAGATTTTTTTTCTCAAATCCAGCCTCAATCTGTACTCTCTTTGTTTAAAAACATTTTCTCCCTCTTCCTATCACAATAGGCCCTGCTAAAATGCCTTTCCCCATTTTTCTTATAGGCCCCTTTTAAGAACTGAAAGGCTGCAATGAGGTCTCCCTGGAGTCTTTTTAATTATTTCTTCATATTTATAAACACTTAATCAAAGAGGTTTCCTAGAATATTATTCCTCCTTTGAAACTCTGAAATAACTGCTTCCACTTTGTATTTTGTGCACACTTCGTTTCTACAAAACATGACAAGCACAGCTCTAATCTAATATTTACAAAAAATGCTAACGTACAACTTATTTGAAAAAAAAATATCCTAAGTTTAACATGTATTTCAGCAACAACGTTCTTGACTGTACACACACCACTAATTTCAAGAAGATTTTGTGCTTCTTGAGTGAAAAACTTCTTTTCTGCGTGGCTGTCCCATCCTATTCGCTCAGAGATTTACTTTTAAGAAAACCAAGGTATTTTTAACCTACCAAAATGAGCAAGAGTACCTAAATGTCCATGTCTGTGTATTTTGAGGTTGAATTTTTATATCATAATTATCAGATGTATTCACACTGACACCTTAATATGGATAAATTTCATTGTCCAATAAACTGTGAAGACTGCAGTCTGGCTCCTGGAAAGGGAAACCTTTGTTTTTATGATAATGAAAAGCACTCTAATCTCAACTTCAGTGCAGGGGTTGTGAAAGTCTCTTTGGAGATGTGTTACCATCCAAATCCTTTGGTTTTAATGTAAAGCAAGATGACGCCTGGTAACAGTACTCAACTCTGTCCTGCCAGGTATCCATGGCTTTGCTCCCCTAATGTGCTATAAACCCTGATTTTACTGCACATGCAAGAGACGGCACATATGCTAAACCAGACAAAAACTGCTTCTCTTCAGAAGGAACTAAGCAAAAGGGTGAATCACATTCAAGCTTAACAAGTACACAGAATTCCACTAGCTCATTAAAGCAGAGAAAAGAAAAATAAGAGTAAGGACGACAGGCACCCAGAAATTAAAACCATGTGTCCCTTTAAGGATGCAGTACATCCAAGAGTTTAACAACAAAGCTCCAAAAAATATAAGAACCTAGAAAACACACTACTTCATCCCAATCAAAGGACAATGTATCGTGCCAGGTACCAACTTATAACTCAAACAGTTCTTTTTCCTCCAAATAGGCTTGAAAAACTCCCTCTGGAAATGCAGACAGTAGGGATGCAACACATAGTTAGCATGTTCTGGAACTATACTCCAAAAATGAGCTACTGGAAAAAATGTAGGCAAAGAACTACTCAGCTCTTCATCACAATGTATTTAAAGCAAGATCAAAAGAATTCATTTAGTAACATAAACATACTCTGTCACAAAAAAACCCCACCATAACTAAAGCCATTAGTGTCATGAAAAAATGCCATAAAGTCTTGGCAGAAAAACCTAAGAAATATGAATTCAAGCTACAGACAGGTATGATAGCTTCCCACATTTGTTTTGCATGTATTTATTTTTTATGTTATACTTCAGCCTACCATCTCAACAGAAACATGAGCTCAAGAAAATCACTGGCAAACCTCCAAAGGTTCCTGAACCTGAATTTCACTCCATTTGCAATAACAGCATTTCAAAGCATTTTACTGAAGAAAAAAAGGTCCTTTGTTTCATTTTTTTGGTTATGAAAACTCCCATATGTAAAGACCTTAAATACCACATACATTAAGCTGAAATATTATCAGGAATAGAAAGAAGTTTGCAAGGAAAAAAACCAAAGCTAATCCTACAAGTAAAGTGTCAGACACTGAGGATCTGAAGAGGGATCTCAGGAACAATCTGCTCAGCCCACTGACAGTGGCGGAAGCTCAGAATTATCAAGATCATCTCTGAAAGCTGCTTCTTTATGCAGTTTTAAAAATTTCTATCATAGATTTCATGACAGAGGTAAAATATAAGAGTTTTTCATCCATATTTGCAGTCAGATATGAGGTAAAACAAAAAAACCTTGGACTGCTTTCACATCTATCCTAAACAATCCTTTGTGTAAACAGAACTTCCTTTTTAAAAAGTAAAAAAAAATTAAAAAACAACAACAAAAAAAATCAACAGAGCAACTGCCAACATTGCTTTTATAAAACCCTCTTATCTTTTTAAAGCCTTATGCCCATCCTACAATGTTCTCTTTTTTCACAGAATAAACAAACCCAATCCTTTCAGCTGTTCTTTAACAGTCCTGCTTTCTAAATCTGTCAGTAGCTTGTTGCTCTCCTTTGCTTTCTTCTGGCTGATACAAATCTTCTTTAAAGGGCAGTACCCAGTACTGCAAAATACGTTCTACCTAAGGTCTCACTGACAGTGAACACATACCAAGTCTTGTGTCAGACAATAAAAGCTTCCATGGAATGGGAATGGAGATTTGGGATTCCCACCCCCACCCAGCTCTCCAATTGTCTTCCTCTTATAGAGGAAACTTGCATTAGAAACTAAGTTTCTGAAAAAAAGTCTTATTTTTAATGCATTTCCTTAAGAAAAACGTAAGTGCACAAAGGAAGAGACATTTTAAAGGAATTTAAAGGATTTCTCCTTACGGAAGGAGAATCATAGGATTATAGAGTGGTTTGGGCTGAGAGGGATCATAGAATCACAGAACAGTTAGGGTTGGAAAGGACCTTAACATCATCAAGTTCAAACCCCCCTGCCATGGGCAGGGGCACCTTGCTCTAAACCGTATCACCGAAGGCCTTGTCCAACCTGGCCTTGAACACTGCCAGGGATGGAGAATTCACAACCTCCCTGGGCAACCCATTCCAGTGCCTAACAGGAAAGAATTTCCTCCTTACATCCAGTCTAAACTTCCCCTGTTTAAGTTTGAACCCATTACACCTTGTCCTGTCACTACAGTCCCTAATGAAGAGTCCCTCCCCAGCATCCCTATAGACCCCCTTCAGATACTGGAAGGCTGCTATGAGGTCTCCACGCAGCCTTCTCTTCTCCAGGCTGAACAGCCCTAACCTCCTCAGCCTATCTTCATATGGGAGGTGCTCCAGGCCCCTGATCATCCTCATGGCCCTCCTCTGGACTTGTTCCAACAGTTCATGTCCTTTTTATGTCGAGGACAACAGAACTGCACACAATACTCCAAGTGAGGTCTCACGAGGGCAGAATAAAGGGGCAGGATCACCTCCTTTGACCTGCTGGTCACACTCCTCTTGATGCAGCCCAGGATTCGGTTGGCTTTCTGGGCTGAGAGCACATACTGCCAGCTCATGTTCATTTTCTCATCGACCAGCACCCCCAAGTCCTTCTCCGCAGGGCTGCTCTGAATCTCTTCTCTGACCAGCCTGTAGCTGTGCCTGGGATTGCTCCCACCCAGGTGCAGGACCTTGCACTTGGCATGGTTAAACTTCATGAGGCTGGCATTAGCCCGCCCACCTCACAAGCATGTCAATGTCCCACTGGATGGCATTTCTTCCCTCCACTGTATCAACCGAACCACACAGGTTGGTGTCATCGGCAAACTTGCTGAGGGCGCACTCAATCCCACTGTCCATGTCAGCAACAAAGATGTTGAACAAGACCGGTCCCAACACCGATCCCTGAGGGACACCACTCGTTACTGGTCTCCAGCCAAACATTGAGCCATTGACCACAACTCTTTGTGTGCGGCCATCCAGCCAGTCCTTTATCCACCAAGTGGTCTATTCATCAAATTGATGTCTCTCCAATTTAGAGACAAGGATGTCATGTGGGACAGTGTCGAACACTTTACACAAATCCAGGTAGATGACATCAACTGCTCTACCCCTGTCCATCAGTTCTGTAGCCCCATCATAGAAGGCCACCAAATTGATCAGGCAGGATTTGCCCTTGGTTAAGCCATGCTGGCTGTCAACAACCACCTTGTTGTTTTTCATGTGCCTTAGCATGCCTTCTAGGAGAATCTGCTCCAACATTTTGCCAGGCACAGAGGTGAGACTGACTGGTCTGTAATTCCCTGGGTCATCCATTTTCTCCTTCTTGAAAATGGGGGTTATATTTCCCTTTTTCCAGTCGTTGGGAACTTCACCTGACTGCCACGATATTTCAAATATGATGGCCAGCAGCTTAGCAACTTCATTTTCCAGCTCCTTCAGGACCCGCGGATGGATTTCATCAGGACCCATGGACTTGTGCACATTCAGATTTTTAAGATGGTCTCGAACCAATTCCTCTCCTACAGTGGGCCCAAGGTCTACATTCTCACAGTCCCTGCGTCTGCCTTCCGAGACTTGGGTGGTGCGGTCAGAGCCTTTGCTAGGGAAGACCAAGGTAAACAAGTCATTCAGAACCTCAGCCTTCTCCAAATCCTGTGTAGCTAGTTCTCCTGAGAGCTTCCTGAGGGGGCCTACGTTTTCCCTAATCTGTTTTTTATTTGCGATGTACCTGTAGAATCCCTTTCTGTTATCCTTACTATCCCTAGCCAAGTTTAATTCTAACTGGGCCTTAGCTTTCCTAACCTGGTCCCTAGCTTCCCTTTCAACATCCCTGTACTCTTCCCAGGCTGCCTGTCCTTGCTTCCACTTTCTATAAGACTCTTTTTTCATTTGAATTTTTCTCAGCAGCTCCTTATCCATCCAAGGAGGTCTCCTGGCCCTCCTGCTGCACTTCCTTCTAGTTGGGATGCAACACTCCTGAGCTTGTAGCAGGTGATCCTTGAAGACCAACCAAGAGTCTTGAGCCCCCCTAGCCTCTAGGATCTTAAAAACCATTTAGTTCCAATCCCCTGAAACAGGCAGGGACACCTTCCACTAGACTGGTCAAAAGGTTTGGACCAGGTTGCTCAAAGCCCCACCCAACCTGGCCTTGGACACTTCCAGGGATGGGGCGGCTACTAACCTCAGGGCCAGTGCCTCACCACCCTCACAGGAAATAATTTCTTCCTAATATCTAATCCAAAGCTCACGATGAGAAGTTTGGGGAGCTCTTACTGCTGTCTCCATCTAGCTATCATGTGGTTAAGCAGAAGATGGAGCGAGAACCTCCTCTGACATCCACAGTCAATGGATGAGCAGCAGTCACACGTGCAACATGGAAAGTTTTAGGAAATACTAGGAAAATCAAGGATCTGGCAGGATCTTTTCAACACATGAATACCTGAAAGAAGGGTGCAAATAACAGAGGGCCAGGCTCTTTTCAGTGGTGTTCAGTAACAGGACAAGAGGTAATGGGCACAGATGGAAACACAGGAGTTTCTGTGAACATTAAGAAACACATTTTTACTGGGAGGATGAGAGAACTGGCACAGGTTGCCTGCACGTGGCAGAGTCTCCATCTATGAACATATTGAAAAACTGTCTGACATGATCTTGGGAAACTTCCTCTAGGTAACTGTGCTTCACCAGGAAGGTTGGACAACATGACTTCCCAAGGTTTCTTTCAACCTCAGCCATCCTGTGTGACTTCCAGGTATCTCTTCCAACCAATATCACTCAGTGATTACTGTCTCATGACACCATCAGCTACTGGGTTTGCTGACTTCAAGAGGAAACATTACAGAGTGCTCAGTAATACAAGCATATATATCTTCTCATCCAACATTATGGAGAAAGAATTCAGCAATTCAATTATCTCATAAGCCAGGTTTTCTTACAGACACTTGTCCTGGAACCTGTTCATATTGCAGATTCCCCAAATTCAATTACAACAGAGTAACATCCTTGTTGGAATGCCATGAAACCTGAGAGCCTGTTCTCGGGAATTTAGATTGGAACACAGAAAAAACACGTATTTCTAAATATAGCCACAGCGTTAGGTTGCATAGGTACGATTTACAAACGCAAAGAAAAAAATACCAAAAGATCTTCCAAATTTTCCTAATATCCTACCAAAGAAGATGGCTCTTCTGTTAGCTCTCTCTACCAAAAAGGACAGCTCTCTAAAAAAATAAAGATTCAACATGAGTTGTGTACATCAAGTATTCTGTGGGCACACTATACGTACCAGTTCAGAGGTGATCAGAGCAAATTCTGTATTTTCTCTGAAGAAAGTACTGATAAGAATGAGAATGCACCGATGTTTTTAAAAACCTTATTTTGATGCAACAAACACTGCACACATACTATGCTGATTCATTAAGATGGCCAAACTATCTATTGTAAATTAATGTAATTTTATTTAAAAATAAAAAGGTACGCATTTCTTCAACTGGGGCACTTCAGATTAAAGATCTCTTCAGTCTTTTCTGGAGGGATTTAAAAAAGCTTTGGAGAAATCTTAAAGCTATGGAATTAGCTTGGTATTTATAGCTCAGTTTTCTAGTGTGTTCTTTGAGCTCCCTAGGACATTCTTTTTCTCCATCTGCTGGCTGTTGACATGGTATAACCTTATATTTTGATTATGAAAATGCAAAGAATAAGAGCATTTCATTTTCTATTTTACTGTAAAGTTCTGGCTTCATCTTTGGGCAAGGCAGCTCCACTTTGCTACTGCAATATAATCTAGGTCAAGAATGGTGCTGCATATTTTCCGATACAGATAACTGGAATTCTGTTGTTTAATTATGTCAAAATATATTACTACCAATTATGACTAATACTCCGTATGAATCACACTGTCACAAAACGGTAATTTTCTAACCATTAAAATACTGTGTTTCATATGCTGTTTCAATACAATCTGTTAAATCTAGGTCAAGAATGCTTTTTTCTTTGTTCTCTTATCAAAAAGGTCCATGTATGGGTGCGCTGTCTATCTTGCACAAAGATATGAATTGCTAAATTGTTTACTTTTCTACTTCAGCACCATTAGATGTTGAAGATGTCTGCTACTCTTCTGTTTACTTTAATATCAGCTCAGATCTTTTGTATTATACTTGAAGTGCATCTTGTAATAAGCTTTACTACCACTGCATAAAACTATCAAAATAAAACTAAAAGTTGCCCAGCTTAATAAATGCATTGATTTACTTTTGAATACTTACCTACATTACTCCTCATAGTCTTGCTTCTAGATATCTTTGGGATCTTCTGGCTTCTTAAATTTCTTGATGCACTTTCACCTTTGCTTTAGATAGTTTCCTGGTTAGATCTCGATAATAGGCTATTTCCATTGAGGCTGGATCCTCGTTTTACTACAGCCCTCATCTGAGGCACTCTTGCACCCCACGTTACATCTGTTGAGACAGTTGCATTATTTAAATTAAAGAATGAGCCAAACGTTTTTATTTCACTTTTCCTGACTGCTTTGTAAACCCTAATCCAATTACCTTGTACTATAAACTGTCGCATTATTTGCTTTTAAAGAAAGGTAGGATGGCTGTGACTAGAAATGATAAAAAAAAAAAGATACCTTTTACTACATTATGGTGGTTCATTGTCCAGAAGAAACAGAAGATTTCTGTAAGTATAAGTATATGGATTCTTATGATGGAAGTTTAATGCCTTTAAATTAGCAGAGGGCAGATTTAGATTAGGTATTAGCAAGTTCTTCCCTGTGAGGGTGGTGAGACACTGGCACAGGTTGCCCAAAGAAGCTGTGGCTGCCCCATCCCCAACACATGCAGTGTTCAAGGCCAGGCTGGACAGGGGGTGAGCAACCTGGTCTAGTGGAAGGCGTCCCTGCCTAGTTCTATGAACTACTATACATACAAAAAAGGTTGTGTCTTCAGACAACTTGAGTTGTACTGATTCATGCTAAAAACATTCAACTAAAAAGGAAAAAAATCTAGGTCTGAAGAGCTATCATATTGGAAATGGCAGATGAACCAGAATTTGGGTTATTCCATAACATCTGCCTGTACTGAGACATTACCTTCATAATTACCACCAAAATGGCCCTGCAGTACCCCCATGGCTTAAGAGTTAGTTAGGCTTTGATTGTGCCAGTTTCAATTTCCCTAACACTGAAAGAAGTGAACAGTGTTTGCAGGACTTTAAGTCAATTAATTAGTTCTTTCAGAGGTGAAATGGATTGAAACTCATTAGGTTAAAGGTGTATTCAATAGTGTTAATGTAAGCATTAAAACATTGTATCTGAAAGCCTGAGGGATTAGAAATACACATTTTAACAAATTCAGTATGACTGTGTATTTTTCTTTTTTTTTTTAAAGAATAAATATTTGATTGACACCACAGAACCAGTCAATGCTTTTTGAATCCTACAGTAAGTCTAATTAATTTGTTATGATTTCCAGATCACATATTCGGAATCTCTTCTAAAGCTATGTGTCATCATAGTAAAGGTCTTGGTTGTTGTTCAAGCCTTCTCCTGTAACAGAAAACTCACTGATACAAAATGTGAATGAAAAATTTCAGATAAGCTAGACAAAAAGGGTATAAGCACAAAGTCACATAAAGTATACTGGTTGCAAATAACAAACACAGTACTCACTATGATTATTAAAATACCTTCATTTAGTTTATAAGCAGAACCTTTCAGCTTTCTTGACGGACACCTGGTTTTGGCTTTTACGAACTTTATGAGTACCATTAATTTAACGAGTTATCAGTTGACCAGCTTACTCCCTATTTAAGGGCAAAATTGAGGCACAGCATTTTGTAAAAATGGGTACAAGAGTGTCTTGGTGGTTTCAGACGCCATTTACCAACCCAGACGACCTTTCAGTAGACAGTTTATGTATATGCGAACTGCTTAGAAGAAAAACTTGCTAAAGTTCTTCCCCAATCAATATAACTTTGAAAATTATTCCCCAATATTGAGTATGTGTTTAGATTTTCTTGAAGACTAGGACACTAAACAGCTTCCATGTTTGAGCACTATACATTTAGCGTATTAACATTACCGGCTTACCTGCTCTTAATACTGAATGCTTTTTATGTATCTAGGATACCAACAAAGTACATCCAGTCTACAGATATTATTAAAATAAATAATAAAACATACATTAACAAAATTAAGATTCTGGCTACTGGAAAAATAAATTCTCTTTCCCTTAGTTGAAAGGGTTAAATAACTTTGTTGAACAAATAGAACTATCAGTTTATAAATTCAAGGAGTTACAGGGATAAAAATACTGAATATATATGACTGAAAAACAATTACTGCAGGTGAAAACTGGGGTATTCAATGGATAGAGCTTCAGTAAAGGCTACTCACGACAAAGTCAGACATACTGTGAAAGGAGAATGATACAAATCTCATGAAGTATGAGATGCACCAGACTTTATCCCATGAAGCCTTCACAGAACTCACAAGTTTGGGCTCCTACCTTAGCTACTAGCTTCAGCTTATCAAGAAACTGAATGCCAATGTTTGCTAAATTACTCCAGAAATTCTAGATCTTAAAATCAACCATCTAAACAGTGTAACTTAAAGCATGACAACTTCTTAATTTGTAGAAATGACAGAAAATTTAAACTTGTTTCTGCTGTATATAAGCTGCATGAAATATTGCAAAGAATTAATATTTTTATGGAGGTTATTCATAAAATTAGAAAAATAAGAATCCATGGCTTCACAACATAGCTTATCTTTACAGTAAAAAACCCAGTCACATGGTATAACTTACCATTAAAGAATTTACATACAAATAGATTTCAGATTGTAATTTCACCATGGATATTACATTTTTCATGTAAAATTATTTATTAATGTTTAAACACATTGAAAAGTATTGATGAGACATTTTTATGAAGAACTTCCCTTGAGTATATCATGCTAATTGCAGCAAACGCTGTAAAACTGATTTACTTGAAACAATTTCAATAGGTGGATGAAATAACCTAAGAAGGAAACCCAAGTCATATTAGGGCTTAAAATACCTAGGTCGTATGGGCAGTATTAAGGCTTGAAGTAGCATCAGTTAAAGAAGCTTCAATAAAGGCCTCAAGAAATCTATAGAAAAGCATTATTAAAATGAATTCAAATGAAAACCCTGATTTTTAACTTATATCTAAATAAAATAGCAACAATAAATTAATGACAAAAATTGTCCATACTGAGCTTATGGAAATGTATAAGCAAAGATGGAATTAAAATTTCTGCTGAAAAAAGTGATATTAACTTAATTACGCAAATGCCATTGACAAATGTACTAGCATCAAAATAGGAGAGTCAGAGATGGATAACGAGCTATGGAATACAGTTTGATAAATACTTAGCATAGACTACTGGTGATAATCAAAAGGCTTCCATGTGGTGAGCAAGAGAATTTTTATGGCTAATTCAGTCAGTTCTGAGTTATTTCTCCCCTCCAGAAAGTCTGATTCATTCTCCTTTTAACTAGTCCTCCTATCTTCCTTTAGTAGGAGCTGCCAGTTTTTGTGAGAAAGAATTAAAAATAAGTGTTTGGAAAAAACCTCCAAAGGAAGTTTTTCTCATACAATCAAAGAATCATAGAGTAGTTAGGGTTGGAAAGGACCTTAAGACTATCTAGTTCCAATCCCCCTGCCACGGGCAGGGACACTTCATACTAAACCATGTCACCCAAGGTTTCATCTAACCTGGCCTTGAAAACTGCCAGGGATGGGGCATTCACAACATCCCGGGGCAACCCATTCCAGTGCCTCACCACCCCAACAGGAAAGAACTTCCTCCTTATATCCAATCTAAACTTCCCCTGTTTAAGTTTTAACCCATTACCCCTTGTCCTACCACTACAGTCCCTGATGAAGAGCTCCTCCTCAGCATCCTTGTAGGCCCCCTTCAAATATTGGAAGGCTGCTATGAGGTCTCCACGCAGCCCTCTCTTCTCCAGGCTGAACAGCCCCAACTTTCTCAGCCTATCTTCATATGGGAAGTGCTCCAGTCCCCCGATCATTCTTGTGGCCCTCCTCTGGACTTGTTCCAACAGTTCCATGTCCTTTTTATGTTGAGGACACCAGAACAGCACACAATACTCCAAGTGAGGTCTCACGCGAGCAGAGTAGAGTGGCAGGATCACCTCCTTCGACCTGCTGGTCATGCTCCTTTTGATGCAGCCCAGGATACGGTTGGCTTTCTGGACTGTGAGCGCACATTGAAGCTGGCTCATGTTCAGTTTCTCATTGACTAGCAACCCCAAGTCCTTCTCCGTAAGGCTGCTCTGACTCTCTTCTCTGCCCAACCTGTAGCTGTGTCTGGGATTGCTCCGACCCAGGTGTAGGACCTTGCACTTGGCATGGTTAAACTTCATGAGGCTGGCATCAGCCCAGCTCAAGCGTGTCAAGGTCCCTCTGGATGGCATTCCTTCCCTCCAGCGTATCAACCGAACCACACAGGTTGGTGTCATCGGCAAACTTGCTGAGGGCGCACTCAATCCCACTGTCCATGTCAGCAACAAAGATGTTGAACAAGACTAGTTCTAACACCGATCCCTAACGGACACCACTCATTACTGGTCTCCAGACGGACATTGAGCCATTGACCACAACTCTTTGCATGCAGCCATCCAGCCAGTTCTTTATCCACTGAGTGGTCCATCTACCAAATTGATGTAGCTCCAATTTAGAGACAAGGATGTTGTGTGGGACAGTGTCGAACACTTGTTTTGTTTTTCTTCAACTAAAAAATGGACACTTGACATTGAAAAAACACGCTCATACTTCGGAAGTCTGCTCTTTAACGTATAAAGACGATTGTCACAGACTGTTCTAGGTGTAATTCAACAGCACTGCATCATTCGTGACAAGACCACATTATACTTCAGAAAGTGCACGGGGCGTACACAGTGACTGCAATATATTTATCTTTTGATTGCATACATATTCGTAACAATAAACTTCCCAGAAGAGTTCTCAGCAAGCTGCAGGAATCTAACGGTAAACGTAATTCTTGGGAAGAGACATCTGTTTTTTCAGTGCATGTGCTGTCTCGCTCTCTTTGTGAGTTTTCTATTTACATAACAAGTCTGTGCTAACAGATTAAAAAAGTCCTGTCCTCATCTAATCTCTTAAAATACACACAATATCTTTCCAACTGTGGTATTTGATATAGCTAAAATTAAATATACTCTACTTTCCAGAAGAAAAAAAAAACAACAAATAACCAACCAAACAAAAAAATAAAATAAAAACCCCCAAAACACAACCAGAAAACCAAAACAAAACCCCCAACAAACAGAAAAAAGTGATTTTCCATAAAGAGAAACAAACACAACAACTTTTCAATTGTGCACTGTCACAAATGAGTACAGAAAGAGAATGGCAGCCCACCAGTCCCTTTTTTAATTCAGGAAGGTTTTAAATATATTTTTCCTAAAGCAATCAACTTTATTACTGGCTGTTTCTCAGGTTATTCTCCCTTTTACTCAGTGGCATCACTGAAAAACACTCTCCCAAAAGAGTTAATACCAACTCAGAGCCATGGGCTTCATGCTGGAAAAAAACAGCAAAAGCTTTGGGACCCATTTACAAGGATCTGGTCTGATTTTGTCTGATTTTATTTTTAATAATTGCTATTTTAATTTTCGTAAGTGCAAAAGTCACACAAGCTTATATTTAGTAATTGCACTGTCATCCATAATACTAAAAATGAACATGGTATCATTAATTTCTAGTGGTGGCACCACATTACCATCAGATAAAGAATGCTGCCTGCACCACCAGTCTAGTAAAGTCCATTATTTCTTGACACATCAAAGAAAATAGAAAAAATTTTTAAAACATCTGATCTGAAATCACTGTGCTTACTGTTCATATATGTGTTTACTATCCGTATACATGTGACAGGAAGAAAGAGAGTGGTAAAGGGAGAATTCACCTACCTCAAATCAGGAAGACCGGTGGAGGTAATCCACCAAATTCTGGTGAATCTCTGAACTTTTCAAAAGAATTAGAGAAGTACTATTTCCTCAAGTCTGTATGTTTCTTTTCCTGTTTGGTTGTGATAAAGCCTCTTCTTCCTGCAATGAAATAAATCTAAAATAAGATTTGCAAAAAGACAAGCTATTGATACCTGCACTTCTCATAGACTCCATGGCTTTTCTATCGGATTGCTTCGCTACACAAAAATAACGGGTGCTTTCAGAAAAGCAAACATTGAACAAAAGTGGTGAGTTTACTTCGGTGCTCTCAGCAGTCAGCAAAGAAAGGCAGAGTCCAAAGTATGACTTAAAATAAATTAATCTAATCTGACCCTACATACAGTTGTATTCTGAACTGTCCTCTAGAAGAATCTTTCTTCATTGACCATAAACACAAGATCAGAAGAAAACCCTACCGTACAAGGGCAATGGCCATATCCCTCCACTGCTTCACCATTCTACAGAATTTAAGGCTATAGGAATAGAACCCACACAGCTGGAGAAGGATAAAAAGACTTGTAAAAAGAGATATTCTTGAAAATATCTACCATAAAACTTCAGAGAACCAAAACTGTAAAAAAGGTGCACAGTTTTGCTTATTGACATCTAGTTTCTATACACACCTTTCTCTATATATACACTCACAAACATATTCATATATAAAAATTAGCATAAACCCCCAAAGTATCTTAGATACCACTGAAAGTAGATTTTAGACTTGTTAGAGGGAACAACTCAATGCTCTACTTAAAGGCTCCTCCTGCTTGAGGACAGGAGCTGCTGGTTAATGCCACTCCTCCTCCGCAGCAACCAACAACCAACCACTGGATGTGGACCAGTGGATCAGATAAGGGAGCAGATTTGTGTATATCTACTGATTAGTCTTAACCTAGATCAGTTCCCTAATCTCTGTGGCTGGAAGAATGCTTGTGCTGGCCTAGATGCTTAGGAAGAAGTGGCACATATACCTGAATGAGTAACTCCAAGTGGAAACAGCAGCAGTGAATTTGGCTCATGCCAGTCCAAACTGCTTGGGGAAATTCAATATGTTTGCTCACTTATTTTATTTTAGAGCACTGCAGTATTGCAAATATCTTTTCATCTCCTGTTTTCATATGAGGAATTCAGTATATTTCATTGTTTAAATAAAAGTAATATTTAGCTGTCTACATAGTCAAAATGTACGATCCTAATTCTGAATTTTAACTGTTATAATATCAAAGAGCAGTTAGGCATGTCCAAAAAAGCCTGGTTTATGCATCTGACTAAAGTAATCATAAAGCTTGTGCTGGTTTTGGCTGGAGCAGACTTTTCTTCGTAGTAGCTGGTATGGGTTATGTTTTGGATTTGTGCTGGAAACTGCTGACAATATAGGGATTTTTTAGTTATTGCTGAGCAGTGCTTACACAGAGCCAAGGCCTTTTCTGCTCCCCACACCACCAGCAGGGAGATTGGGGGACCACAAGGGGTTGGGAGGAGATACAGCTGGCACAGCTGATCCTGACTAACCCAGGAAATATTCTAGACCATATGAGCATATGACCATATGCTCAGCATGCAAAGCTGAAGAAAGAAAGAAGAGGGTCATCTGGAGTGATGGCATTTGTCTTCCCAAGTCACCATTACACGTGATGTAGCCCTGATCTCCTGGAGATGGCTGAGCACCTACCTGACTGTGGGAAGGGGTGAATGAATTCCTTGGTTTGCTTTGCGTGCATGTGCAACTTTTGCTTTTCTTATTAAAGTCTTTATCTCAACCCATGAGTTTTCTCCTTTTTACCCTTCTGATTCTCTCTGCACCCCACCAGGGAAGAGAGAGCAAGCAACTGCATGGGGCTCAGTTGCCAGCTGGGGTTAAACCATGACAAAGCCGTTGGAAATAATAATCTTGCTTCCTTATTCCTGATTCTAATTCAGATCTATTATCTGAATATTTATCTGACATGGTATCTGGAGAAAATGAAGTTAAAACATAACAGATGGCATAAGAAAAAAAGCAAATATCCTACCTTCCAAGACTACCTTTGCATGAACATATGGCCTTTTCTAAGTGTACTCTTCTTTTGTATGGCAACAAGTTGGCCATATTAATATAACTTAAAAAATGCATTTTAACTGCCTAACAACACAAGAAAGCAAGTGAAAAACATTAAAGCTACAAAAAAATTGTATTTCTGTGAAATACAGTAACAACAGACAGGTCTTAAAGAAAAGCCAGTTCAAAAATTAGCTATAAGGTTAACATACTAACACATTTTTTTTACTTATGTGATATACAGCTATAAGGCTAACACACTAACATATTTGTTTTATGTGCGTGATACATAGCTGTAAGGCCAAGATACTAACGTTTTTCACAGATTTGGCAATGGTGTCATTTGAGTGGATGTAGCTTTGAGTGGAGAAGATGTAAGAAGGGACACCAGCTACTTTTTTGCCTCCACTTACAGGAGAAAAAAAACAGAGCTTTAATTTGCAAGAGGAGAAAATCAGACACATCAATTTAGTCAACAGTCTCAATCCTATAAATCCCATGTACCTGATACTTTCATAAAGAACGTGACAAGTACTAATAACGTATCTTACACCCATGAAAAGACTTTTATTTTATAAAAAGCCTTGGTTTTGACAGGAAAGGAACATGCTGCTATTCAGGAACAGCACACATGCAATCTTCACCCAGCAATTTAAAAATTGAACAAAAACAATCAAATTGACAAATAGATCAGTTTCCAACTATTAAGAAAATCCCTCCCATGTGAAATCCTGGGTAATAGATAAGCACAGTGCAAACCCATGTACCACAGCACCTGTCTCACCTAACTGCCAGTTGCTATGGCAAGCCTTTGCCTGTATTTCGTACATTAAACAGTAATATATTTTTCGCTTCCTTGTTCCTGATATTTTGATCAAGTTAATACTCAAGATTTGGACCTCTAAGGTATGGAAACTAAAGGTTCTCTCAAATAATCATGCATTGCAATTTATTCTGGTTTTGTGAAAACATCTTTGAATTAAGAAATTAATGAATAATTTAAAAATTACTTTCATTTGTCTGTAACACAGCCTTTTAAAAATTTGGTTTCCATTAGCTACTTTGCATACCTGTTGTACATGCATTTCTATTTTCTAGCTCACAATGAAAATGTAATCTACTTTTCTCCTTCACTGATCTTTAATTTAATATAGAGATAACTGCAAAACTGCTGAGAACTCAGATGATAAATAATTTTTGTTCTGTATAACACCAATTTGTCTTTTTTTACGTTTCCTTCCTAAACAAATGTTGGTAAAGGTGCAAAAGAATGAATCAGTAAAAAAATGTAGTCATTACTATTGTAAACTAACCAATAACTGAATTTCTTTCTGTGGCTGTCTCTACCTGAAACACAGTGCTATTTCAAAAGCTGCATGAGAGTCAGCTATGAGAACAGCCATCCTAGGGAGGACAATATTAATCCATTTTCTTTTTGATTTCTATAGCTAACATAAAGCCTTAATATAAAAAATATAAATACTCAAAAGTGAACACATAATAATTTGATAAAATAGCCCCAACAGGAGAGAGAAACAACTGCTGTCCCACCTCACGGATCCCCACTTAACCAAGCGCAAACTCAGCTCTCATCAACTTCAAAAAGAGCTGTGACAAAACTTCCTAATAGTCCTACACTAAAAAAGAAATATATAAATGAATCAGTCAACTCTTTCTCGATAGGAATGTTGTTTCCACTATCATCAAATGCAAAACGTCTTCCGTTTTTTCCCCCAACACATGAAAAGAAGGAATTTTTACACAGCTTCACTTCTCTTTTTGCATCATACCTTGACATCAGAAACTATCACACTGACCTCGGGGACAGTAGTCCTGGATTATGACTTTTAACCTCTCCTGTATTTTCCAATAGATACAATTTGCAGCAGCAGAGTCTCCAAACCATATTTACAAATTGCCTAAGGGTGAATAACAAGTGTTATGTGCATTCTCTTTAAATTAATGTAAATAGACATACTCTCCTGAAAATGGCTGAATCACTCTGTCCTGCTCAGCTTCCCTGCTGACTCTCTGGCTGCTTGAGTGCTTCCACCTCATGCTAGTGCTAGAACACTTCTTTCTTACACAAGAACTAACTCAACCCATCAGAATGTAACCATTTTTATATTCTGATTCAAATTATTTTATATTAAACGTATTTGTGTTGACACCAAAACTGCAAAGTTATTCCATTCCTCTGAGTACATGGTGCAAGCAGCTGAAGCACCGTACAGATACTGGAATAAGTATACCAACATCGTTAGGAGCGGAAGAAAAGGATACCTGGACTTTAATATCCCAAGCTTCAAACTCATAAGGGAAGAAGTTTAATGCAGCACACACACTAACAGTTTATATTTCTGCTTCGTGATACTACATCATCACATAAGAAACGTGTCTTCTTCTAAAAGTGACATTAGACCATTGTTTAAAATCAAATCATCCAAAAAGAAAACAACAAACTTCTGTGTTATTTCTTATTCGAAACTTGTTGGCACAATTTTCCATAACTGTCAAATCTTGATTATTCTCAACTCTCACAAAGGCCAAATGCTGCCATGGTAGCTGACAGGAGGAGGACTCAATGACTGGTGCCCAGAACAGACTCTTCTTTCTTCTGGTCTGCACTCAGGCTATAATCAATGGTGGTGGCACAGGAACCTGTTATCTCCTAAATCTGAAATATTATATTGCCCATGGAAGTTCGCATAGAAAAGAATCACCCCACATAGGTACATGAACACACCACGCATAAAAGCTTTATTTGTCGTTACTGCTCCAGGGTAAGATAACTGGAAATTCTTAGAGAAGCTGAGAAAAAAAAGCTTTTTAAGGGGGAAATAAAGCTAGTCAGAGACTAGCATTAACCCCTACTGAATGCAGTACCCACAGTTTTAACATGCTGAGCTTTACCTTTTGCTTATTCACTGATGTGACCAAATTCATCACTGTAGCATTCACACTTCCCATATTCTTTGCTTCTATCATCCCTCTATAGGTATTAATCTCCCAATAAAAAGATAACTAAACTTATCTTACACACAGATTTCATTACCTGCATTAT